TGTATTCAACTGTGAAATCCAATCACAGCTTTAAAGAAGATAAATAGCGTTTTGTTGCTTTTGTGATTTTATTTATTTATTTTTTTATCTGTCTACTTAACTAGCAGATAATCTTATTAACGGGAGACATATTGCAGAGACAGTGAAAATCTCATTCCGTTTGCTCGACTTAATCACACATGATAGACAAAATACTTTCTTTCGACGAAAAATCGTTTATTCTTACGCGCAAAATGCTTCAGTTCATGCCTTTCTCATTACGTATAACCAAAACCTTTATCAAAATACTCTCGATTGATTTTCTGTCTATCTTTCTGAGATGAGGTATTTTAATTATTTACATTGTTTGGACTGTTGCCCTCATGTTTATTGTCATGTTTCCGACGATTCGGCTGTTGTACGACATGGCCTTCGTCAGGATCTGTCCATATTTCTGAGATAAATTATAATTATTTACATTATTTACATTGGTCGCACCTTTGTCCTCATCTTTATTTTCATGTTCACGATGTTTCGGCCGTTTTACGACCTGGCCTTCTTCAGGATCTGTCTATATTTCTAAGATAAAGTATTTTAATTATTTACAATTTTCGGACTTTTTTCCTCATCTTTATTGTCATGTTTCCGACGTTTCGGCCGATGTATGACCTGGCCTTCTTCTGGAGCTGTCTATATTTCTGAGATAAGGTATTGCAATTATTTAGATTATTTACATTGCTCCGGCTGTTGTCCTCATCTTTATTTTCATATTCACGACGTTTCGGCCGTTGTACGATCTGGCCTTCTTCTGGATTTGTCTATATTTCTGAGATGAGTTTGTAACTACTTACTATATTTACATTGTTCGGGTTGTTGTCCTCATTTTTATTGCCACATTCCTGACTTTTCGGTCTTTGTACGCTCCGGCCTTCTTCAGGTGATTGGAATTTCAAACTGAATCCTTTATTTCGTCCACCGGGATAGATTGTTCTAGCTCCGAGTGCCATAGCTCTTTCGGATGTTATCTCCCTTTAACTCAACTCTCCAAGTTTTTGGTCACTACTGCAAAAATCAAGTATTGAACACACAATGGCCGAAACGTCGTGAATAGGACAATAAATATGTGGACAACAGTCTAAACAATTTAAATAATATAAATACTCTCACTTGATATCCTAACAATTTCTTTATTATCAGCTGAAAAGGACAGAAAGTTGTGGAGAGCCATCATCGTTACCATCCTGAAGGTACACGATGCATAGTAAAACTTTCGTGCCGACAGACTGTTTCTTCCCTTGACACCGCTATAATTTTAAACTATGTTTACTTCCTTTTCTTTTTTCTAATGTTAACCAATACAAGGCCCAAGAGCCACTCAAAGTAGTGTGTAAATTTGTATTAGCATAAGAAAAGTTAGGAGTACACAGCTAAACAAACATTAGAAAGTACTGTAAACCCAATCCTAAACAGGAAACAAGGGATGAACCTCTACTCCTGTTCGAAATACCGGCGAGGAGTATGAACCGGACGATAGGTGAACCTGTTTATTCCTATTTGTGAAGGAGAAAAAATAAAATAAAATGAAATAGTTAATGAATGCAATTTTAGAGTTCCGGATCAGATATTAGGAATACAGAGCAGAAGTAGATTTAAGAAGGATCCGTATACCCGATCCTAAAGTGGAAACAATAGATGAAACTCTACTTCAAAAAACCAGAAAGGAGTGTGAACCGGGCGATAGGCGAAAATATCTACTCCACACACATATAGATTCTTCTGATGTCCATATCTGTGAATATATCAACTTGTATCTACCAGTACTGACTGCAAAAATATGACCCAGACCCAGGAATTGAACTCGGATTTACTATAGTACCTAATTGATATAACAGCGCTTTAATGGTAATGGAAATATAAACCGTTTCCCTATAAGGAAACATTTGACAATTATTGACTGAGTAGCCAGTACTGCTTTCGCTTGAAATTTATAAAATCTTTTTTCTTAAATCAATTTTTCAGTAAAATAGGTTTTTTCAAGTCCAGTAGCTGTTATAATTCCTTCAAGTATCGACGTTAGTGGTGGTCTTTTTACTTCTTTCTTCGGATTTCTCGTTCGTCCGGCATTTTTTTAATATATTACTCTGTTCTTCTTCAAACTTTATTTTCTTTCCTGCTTTTTATTCTTGTTATATACCGTACCTATGAACACTAATGGGTATATCCCAATCTTCATAAAAACATTGGACACTATTGTAAGTGTGGGTAATATGCTGTCTAAGTAGTCCATCACTAGCAGTGGTTTACCTAGTTCTCGCCGCTGGCGAGTATTGTATTTAGATGATGTTATAAAGATTACCATTTCATTTCTAACTTCCGTTTTGGTTTTTCTTCATTCGATAACCTTTTCTAGGTTACGACACGTACATAAGTAGATATTTTTAAGACATTTTTTGTACTATCTTAATATTTTAAGATAGATATGAATGGCCTGGGATAGCTAGCTAGATAGATATGAATGGACTGAGATAGATAGATAGATAGATAGATAGATAGATAGATAGATAGATAGATAGATAAGAACATAGTGTTATATACCGTACACAGGAACACTAATAGTTATGTATAAATACGTTTGACACTATTGTAGTTGGAGGAGTAATATGCTGTCTAAGTAGTCTACCACTAGGAGTGGTTTACCTACTTCACGCCGCTGGCGAATATTGTATTTTGTTGATGTTATAAAGATTACCATTTCATTTCCAAACTCCGTTTTGGTTATTTATCATTCAGTTACCCTTTTCTAGGATACAACAGTTCTTTAGTTCTTTCTTCATTTCTTTCTCCTTTCCTTTCGTTTTTCTTTTCATTCTTCATGTGTTTCTTCTCTATATTTTTTTTTCTTTTTCCCTTTTCTTATTCCATCACTTTTGTCTTTGTTTCTTTTTAAACTTTATTTTATTCTTCTTTAAACTTTGACCTTTCCCGTTTTCTCTCCTTCTTTATTTTTTCCTTGAGACATCTTTCCTTCTCTTTCTTTCTCCACTCCAATCTCCTTTTCTTTCTGAACTTTTCCCTTTTTTTTCTTCTAATTTTGCTTCTTTGTATCTTTTCTTCTTCTTCTTCCCACTTTCTTTCTTTTTCATTCTTTCTTTCTTCCGTCTTTCTTTCTTTCTGTTTTTCTTTTTTCTTTCTTTCTTTCTTCCGTCTTTCTTTCTTCCGTCTTTCTTTCTTCGCTTTTTCTTTCACTCTTTCTTTCTTTCTTTCTTTCTTCCCTTTTTCTTCTTTCTTTCTTTCCTTCGTTCTTTCATTCTTTCTTTCTTTCCACTTTCTTTCTCTTTCTTCTTCTAGCTGTCTTTCTTTCTTTTTTCTTTCTTTCTTTTTTCCCTTTCTATCTTTTTTCTTCCTTTCTTCCCCATTCTTTCTTTCTTTCTTTCTTTCTTTCTTTCTTTCTTTTTTGTCCTTCCCTTCTTAAATATTCTATTGCTAGGCTCCTCGACATGGTGTAATATTAGCAATCTTTTCTCCCTAGACCAAGTACGACTGAGTAGTGTATTCTATCCTCACTGGGTACCCATATTTTCGGCTTTATACAAAATCTCGAAAACCCCCATTTTTCCCGACTTTATTTCCTTCCCCATCCACTTCTTCTTTCTCGCTTTCTTTCTTTATTTCTTTCTTTCTTTCTTTCTTTCACTCGATTTATTTCTGTTTTTCATTATTTCTTTCTATCCTTCATTTCATATCCCTCTCTTCCTTCTTTTTCACTCTTCTCTTCTTTATTAAAATTTTTATTTCGTTCTTTTTTTCTTTCCAGCCTTATTTTCTTGTTCGTTGATTTTTCTTTCTTTCTTTCTTTCTTTCTTTCTTTCTTTTCCCCATCGATTTCTTTTTGTTTCTTTATTTGTTTTCGTTTTTGTTTCTTTCCATCATTTCTTTCTTATCCCTCTCTGGCTGTTATCGCACTTAGCAGTATCGACGTGGGTTTCCTTCCTAACCTTTTATTTGAAGTCGTGTGGAACGTCAATATAATGATTATGACATTATTTCTTAGCTATTGTCCCACATTTTCAGGTTTTCTCTTAAAAATGACAAGTATGTCTGTCTGTTTGTCTCTGCAAGGGATCAACTTCCTATGTGAAGCTAGGAAGAAATCCAGAATATACGTTGACAAGACTGGCAAATCAAATTTAAAGGGACTGTATGATTATAGACAGTGTTACTTATTATTGCAATCTGGGAGTTATCCCTAAGCAACGAAAAAAAACAAAAAAAACAAAAACAAAAACAAAAAAATAAAACAAAAAAAACAAAAAAAAAAACACAATTTTCGCATGTCGTTAGGTGGCACTAAATTTGCAAGGAGATTCACATGTTTGGAATACCAGAAGACAGATCTGGCGGAATAGATTTTTCGGTTTATTTTTCTAATCTCTCTCTACATAAAATTCTTGCAGACATACGCAAAAGTTTAGAACCGTGACGTTTCAAGTAAATTAGTTTTGTTAAAAGCGGAACAAATAGAAAACAAATCAGGTATTATTTACTTCTAGATTAACATGAAGGAATTATTTAAATAATTTTCATCTTCCATCTTTTCTTTTATTTCTGTTATATTTTCTTTTCTTTTTTTTTTTGCTTAGTTTTTCCTTATATTCTTCTTTTTTCTCCCTTTCTTCTTTCTTCTCTTTTTCCTTTCTCTTTTTAGAATTTTATTTCGTCTTTATTTTTCCCATTTCTGTTGTCTCCTCTTTATTTTCTTCGTTTCGTTTTTCTTTTAATTCTCGTTTTCTTTCTGTCTTACTGTTTTTCTTTCTTTACTTTCCTTTACTTTCCTTTATTCTTTATGTTTTTCGTTCGGATTTCCTTCTTTTCGTTTCGTTTTTCTTTACAACCTCGAATTCTTTCTGGTTTACTTTTCTTTTTTTTCTTTTTTCTTTTCATCCAGTTCTCCATTTGTTTCTTTTCTTTCTTCTTCAACTTTCTTTTTTCTTCTCTGTCGCCCGTCTCTTCTTTTTTATTGTTACTTTACCTTTTTCTTTTCATTCTTCTTTTAATTCTGTTATTTTTCTTTTATTTCTATATTGTTCTTCCTTTTTTTTTTTCGTTTTTTCTTTCTTTCCCCTTTTTTTCTTCGCTTTTCTCCGACTCTTCTTGTATTATTATTTTACTTCCCTTCTTCAATTTTTTTCTACTTTCTTCGTTTCTTTCTTTTTCTTTTAATTCATTTTTTTCGTTTCCTTTTGTCGTATAGGAATAAAGTGTCGTTACCGCCACCGTAGTTTGAACACAGATCACCAGTGAAAAAACACAGACGATTCCATTATTAATAAGTAGACCACGTGATCGTAAAGGAAACGTGCAAATGGGAATTAGTGTGATGCCTAATTGACTGCTATTCTCTATACTATCCTCTATACTATTTCTCTATACTGATCATTATGGTCGATTACTATTTGAACAATTATTATTAGTGCAAGTATTATTTGAAGGCGTTATTACTATCCGTATCTGCATTTACAAAGTCTCGTCTACAACGAGAATTTCGGAAGTGATAACGAGCATTCGTTGACCTAACGAATGAAAAAGCCAATGAACATCTAACATTACAAAACTTTCTTCATGTTTTTCTTTCTTCTCTTTCTTTCTTTCTTTCTTTCTCTTTCGTCTCTTTCTTTATTTCTTTTTTTTTATTCCATTCTTAAACTTTTTTTCTTTCCTTCTTCTATCCATCTTCATTTACGTTCTTCGTTCATATTTTCCCTTTCTTTCTTTCTTTCTTACTCTCAAACGCGATTTCTTTCTGTCTTTTTTTCCTTTTCTTTTTTAATTCTTTTTATCTTTTCCTCCTTCTTCTTCCTTTCGCTTTTTATTTATCCTTTCTTTTTTAAACTTTCTATTTCGTTCTATTTTATCTTTCATTTTCTTTCCATCATTATTGGGCGCCTTAACATGGTATAATGGTTAACAATCTTGTCTCGCTAAAACAATTGCGACTGAGTAGTGAGTTGGATCCTCACTGTGTACTACAGACATTCGGCCTTATGTCACATTTAAGCTATGCTTAGAAATTCACCGGAGGTGCCTCATCTAGGAAATCACCATTTTATTTTCCTGTTCGATCTTTCTTTCTTTCTTTCTTTCTTTCTTTCTTTCTTTCTGTCGTCTTAGGTAAGACGTTTAACGACATCCGAGTCCTCAGTTTGACGGTGAACTGCGTCCGGCGGCGAGGCCTCTAATCGGAAGATTTTGGGATGCGTGGAACCGCCTCTTGGTTTTTGGTGTTCCCGTGTCCACCCTGACTCGGAGTGGTGCCCATTTGGGGCTATGGGCAGGTCGCTAACCCACAGACTGGGGTCAGGGTAATATGAATGTGTAAAAATACGTTTTAATACCAACAGTACATTTTTGTAAAAGCTTATTATCAGCAATGAATTTTTGAATAAAAAAATATTATTACCAGCAATACAATTTTAAAAAAAATATTCAGTTATATGCCATGCGTGATACGCGCTTAGTCGATCATGTATCTTTCGATATGTGACTAACGAGGCAGATTTTTTTCCGCAGTAGGTTGACATTTCTTTCTGCGGTGGACCATCCAAGGCTACAGAACCTGGTCTGTCCTGCTATTTACCCATAGCTGGGGGAGAAGTGGAGGATTAATATCTTTCCCAAGGGTGTTAGCACGTAAGTGAATGTAATGGATTCGACTCGAATTCGAACTCGGCTCTCCGATTCCTCAATCCATTATTCCACTGCGCATGAAATGTCACCACCGATAAAAAATATTGTGGGTATTAAATAACCCATTAAGATGTTGACATGCCGTAAACCAAACCAAACCGGAACCGGAACTGGATTTCTTTCTGTTTTCTTTTTGTTTCTTTCCACCCTTCCTTTCTTATCCTTCTTTTTTTTCTTTTTCTCTCTTTTTTTTCTTTTTCTCTCTTTTTTTTTCTCTCTTTTTTTTTCTTTTTCTCTCTTTTTTTTCCCCTCTTTTTTTTTGCTTCCTTGTCATTCTTTTTCTTCCCGGTTTTATTTGCTTGTTCGTCATTTTTTCCTTCTCTCGTTACTGATTTTCATACACTTTTTCTCTCTGTTTTTTTCTTCTTTCTTTTTCTTTCTTGATTGAACTGGAGTTCCTCTGGGGAAAAGGATAAATAGAAAATTAAAACAGACACGAAGGCTACACTTTGAATAAGTCAGTAAGTTCACTTGACTATCAAATTGCATTTAGTTTTGCAAAAATTTATCTTCCAATCAAAAATGTAAAAAATCTTTTATTGCCGTTAAATTTGAAGACGGATACGGATTGATTTCAACAGTAATCTCTCCGTTAAACATGTTTCATGTCTGCTACCATAAGAGAATGCATATCAACGCAGGATCACATAAAATCTTTTGGCTTTATTAAGAATCCCGTAGAAAACATAATGTAAATTTATGAGAAAATATTTCAGAAGTGCATCGAGCCAGAAACTTTTTAATCACGCATTCGTAGTAATCTAGCTACTACAAATTGGAATTTAAGTGATGTTAACGTCTTAAATAAACGAATATTAAATTTGAAACAAGGTTCCCAAAGGGGTAAACGTCCTTTTAGACATTTTATAAAACTTTTGTTAGCGTTGGAAAATATATTACGTTGTTTTATAGAACTTTTATTTTGATAATGTTGAGAAATACATTATATTCCAAATAGTTTCATAGAAATTTTGTTAACGTTAGGAAATATATTACATTGTGTTATATAACTTTTATATTCTTAATGTTTGGAAATATATTACAATATGTTATATAACTTTTATTTTGTTAGCTTTTAGGAATATATTCTATTGTGTTATATAGCTTTTATTTTCTTAGTGTTTGGAAATGTTTTACATTGTGTTATATAACTTATTTTGCTAGTGTTGAGAAATATATAAGACATTTTATAGAACCTTTAACGTGTTAGTGTTAGAAAATATATAGCGTCCTTTTATAGAAATTTTATTTTGTTATTGTTTTGAATACATGCAGTGTTCAATAGGTACAGTCGCGCCATGATATATTATTAATTTCGTGCATTGTTTGTTTTTGATTTTTCTCAACTGTAGAATCAATTGGACACCATCTATTGGCCTACATCAAGTGCCTTGAGGAGGTAGTGCTGCCTTGGGTCAAGAAAGTGGCCGCTGGAAAACCCTATGTCTGGCAACATACCCAGTTATGGCTGTCAGACAATTTCTCCGACCACGTCACCCCTTATATCTGGCTACCTAACTCCCCAGATTGCAAACACTTTGTTTATTATGTGTGGGTCATAGTTGAGCGTGAAACCAAGAAAACTCTTTGTAACACCAAAGAGGGTCTGAATTCAAGATATGGTAGCAATCACCAACTTAAACACGTTGACCGTCCAGAAGAGATGGAAGAGATTCCGAAGTGTTATTTTCATTTTTGCGTAGAAGACATTTTATAGAAATTTTATTGTCAGTGTAAGAAATATATTTGACATTTTATAGAAATTTTATTTTCGTAGATTTGGGAGATATTAAAAACATTTTATAGGACTTTTCTTTTGTTAATTTGACGGTCATTTAAAAAACTAAAAACTACATATATTTTCTAGACGTCGCCGTAGCTTTATTCCCTTTAAAATTATGTGACATAAATAATCCCTCCATTTGTGTCATTAAATAACCTCTTCAATCCACGCTGTATGCTGCCACTGGTGTAACAAAATTAAAGTATCTTATTGTACTTTAAATTTATTCTTAACCACTTCAAAGTCACATGGTGTGTTTTAAGTACCCATAATTCCTAGTCAGAATCTCGTTTCTTTTGCTCCCTCCCACTACTCCTCTCTCTGAAGATGTGCAGCACGGGGTGTAGCAGAGATGTAGCTCAGTACTTGTGGGAGGTAGAAGTCGTTTTTTTTTCTGAATACAAAGTGTGTTAGAGCTGTCCAAACGATATATCAAAAAGAAATACACTAGTTGACCCGAACAAGAGAATTAAATTAATTATCTAATACCAAAAATTTAAAACAGCTAACCTTATCTTCAACAATAACAAAACACCTTCAAATCAAAATTACAGAGAACCAATATTATTTACAAGTTGAAATACCCATTGAGAATCGGTGTTCTTGATCAAACCAAACTCATAAACAATTATACTGGTCATACCACTACATGCCTATCTGGACGATTCACGTTACACCTACCAGACCATAGCTCAATTAGGACTGATTTAAACACACAGAGAAACCTACTAAACTCCATCTACAACATACCAGTAGAAAATAAAAATATAATATCCCAACACATGTAAAAATTATTAAGAATAATGGGATCACTAATAATTAAATTGAAAGGCCAACACTCAATAACGTCAACTATAAACACGGCCACAATGTGCTGGCTGTGTTTGTAAAATAAAACATTCCTATAACTTTAGATACGTTTATAAAACAAAAAAAAAACATTCAGTTAAAAATATAAAAAAAATAAAAAATCGTAATCAATAATGGCTAAGAGAATAGCCGAAATATGGTACCAAAGCTGAGAACAACAGTTCGAAGAATGTAAATAGAGTATAAAATTAAAAAATCTCATCAATTGTATCTTCAGTTCAAGTTTTTATTTAATGTCTGTTGTAACGGAGATTTCAGATTAGGTTATTTCTTTAGGCAACATGACAACATTTTACATAATTATAATTTTATAAGCATTTTTTGTACACGATGTGTAAACACCCAGGTGACGATTCATTCTCGGAAATCCGAGGTGACTAACGCAGCGTAAACAACCACTTATGGTTAGTAGTAAGGATACATTTATCATTAAAATTGCTTACATTTTTTTTTAATCATTTCACCTCCAAGCAAGGAAACAAAGGCACTAAGACGCAAAAAACTAATGAGTGCAAGAGAATATGAGAAAAACAGTATTAAAGAGAGAGAAAAATAAAAGCATCAGGAATTAAAAAGATAGAAGATAATGATTGACATTGTGCTTAAATTTTGAAGTGCAATGTTAACTGGCAAGCAAAAATACAGAAGAGAATTCCACAAGCAAGAAGTGCGACAGAAGAAACTGTTAGCTTAGTGTTGTGGCTTTGTTAGGACCAGAAAATGAGGAATTGAGTTAAACAAATATATTAACAGAAACAGTAATGCAAACATATACAAACGAGAGTCTTACAGCAAGAATGTTAGGTCCGACTTTCAGAGCTGACGGCTGGAAACTTCCCTCTCCGAAAGGCAATACCTGCTTCTATTTATAGCTGGGAGAATCCATGGTGCGTGGGTAAATTACTGTAACACTTAGAGAATAATTATTGAAACCAAATGAAAAGTAATTGTTTCAAATTACAGGCCACCAGAGAGTTTATTACGGACAGAAATAAGAGAAAACACAACTTACAATAATTTTTCATCCGCTTTTAAACACGAATTCACGTTGAAATCTCATACATAAAAATAATAAAGAAAATAATAATTTGAGATAAAGAAACCCCCTCCCAAGATGTCTACACTTGTACCAATTGCAACTATCAACATTTGTACTGGTAAAGAAAGAAAAAAAAAACCAAAAAGTCGAAAGGGTTAAAACGGTTGAATCGAGTGGGCCGAGAAGCCAGAGTATATGAAGGGGCATTGATCATATCATTTGGGGAAGGCTCATTTCTGGTGAGATATTTTCAATGATGGAAAATGTCAGAGAAACGAAATTTGAGACGCATGCGCAACACCAGATTACTGCTCCGGGTATAATGATGTCCTTATTTTTTTGTTTTAATGGGACGTGTAACCTCATTTTTTAAAGTGGTCACAACTGGTCGCGAATTAAAAATTGCCTGAAGTAGAGTGACAGACAATGTGACATGTCTGTAAATTTCCAATTGGCAAGGAAAATCCACACACACAAACATATAAATAAATATATATATATATATATATATATATATATATATATATATATATATATATACAGCTATTATAGCCTGTTAGTGTCTGTCTATCTCTACAAATATATCTAAGTCTGTTCACACGCTTGCATCATACACACACACACACACACACAGATGTATATGTATATATGCATACTTTATTATAGGATATTACATTAGAACATATGTAAAAAACCTCTACATAAATACATTCATGTTTCAATGCATATCATATCGCATCTTATCAGGCGGTAAAAAAGAAGGATTATTACAATTTTTAATATTTACTTACAGACAACCTCTTTTCCCGCGAAAAACGAAGAAAGAAATTCACGAAAAGAAAATACTCTTTAATTCTGAATTGTCTCTCTTTCATATTTTGGGGTTTATCTCTTATTATTTTTTTTTAATATTTTTTAAAAATTTATTTCTGAAGTTTCGTTTGATCTATCTACAGTCTATTTCTATTGGGGATATTAAATAGGTCATTACTTTCTCTCTTTTACTTCTTTTTCCCTCTTCCTTTCTCCTCTGACCGCCACTTATATCAAAACTTACACCACTTCCTGTTTCTTTTGCCACCTTTCCTTCCTTTCTATTCTTCATCGTCTTTTTACCATGTTTCTTTTTTCCTTTCTTTGCTGCCACTTGTCTGTTTTTTTTTTTTATTGTCTTAAAAAATTATCATCCACTGTTTTAAAAAATCCTGTATATTTAATTTTGCAAGGTGAAAATGATCATTTTGCATAATGGTATCTTAATTCAGATTGTATGATATATATATATATATTGTTATGGTCCGGTTCCTTGTACCACGGTAGAACCAATAAAAAGAATTCGAATATGGATATGGAATAATACAGATATATTACAAACAGGAATTTATGCAGAGAGGTAGAAAAATGTTAGTACGAACAATCAGGCTTAATAGTTTTGTCTGAACGCGACTCTGTCCGGACTGCCTCTGATTCGACTGACTGACTCCTGACGGACTTCACTCCAGACTTCAGACGGAACTCTCTGCTTCCTCTTGAGGCGTAGTATTTATTACGTATGGAATAGTCCATGATGTTAGTATGGGTAAGGTCCCATAACATATATATATATATATATATATATAACAGAAAAAATTGTACAACTCTTCTAACATCATAATTATCCATTTCATAAAATGCTTAATATCTAAAAAACAAACAC